TTGTATAAAAAATGCAAATTAAAATGGAAGATGGAAAAGTCTTTAAAAAAATGATAATATCCATTACTGATAAAGGCCTAGGGGCAATGACAAGCCCATGCCCTAGAGGTATAAACTGACAGAACCCCTCAGAGGAAATTTGGTGTTATTTATCAAAAGCATCATAGTTTTGTTCATTCTTTGACTCAGAACTTGACTTCTAGAAATTTACCGTAAGGGAATTAATCATAGCAAGGGAATTAATCATAGCATAGGCAAAAACATACCTATAAATTTAAATATTATAAAATTTATAATATTGAAACATTGGAAGCAAACTGTATTGATTTTCTATTGCTGCTGTAACAAATTACCACAAATTTAGTGGCTTAACATAGCACATATTAATTATCTTACAGTTCTGTAAGTCAGAAGTCTGACATGGGGCTCGGTCGGCTAAAATCAAACTGTGGGCGTGCATGCATTCCTTCTGGAGCCTGTAGGAGAGATCCATTTCCTTACCCTTTCTAGCTTCTGGAGGACACCCACATTCCTTGACTCATGGCCACCTCTGTCCATCTAGAAATCCAGCAATGGCAGGTCAAACTGCTCCTCACCTTGCACCTCCTTGACCCTTCTTCGACTTCTTCCGTTATCCTCACCCCCTGTGCCCCACTCCCCCAGCTGGGACAGGTTCTCTTTTTAAGGGCTCATGTGATTAGATTGGGCCCCCGTGGATAATCCAGGCTACTTTCTCCATCTCAAGGTTCTTAATCACATATTCTAAGTCTCTTTTGCCATATGAGGCAACATATGCACAGGTTCCCAGGATTACGGTGTGGACATATTCGGGGGGCCATTCTTATGCCCATCACAAACCCTGTATGTCTAAGAAAAGGATATGAATTAAATAATTGGGATACTTACTTTCACTGGAATGTTATATAGTTATTAAAGCTCTGTTGTATGCAGAATAGTGATAATTAACAATCTTAAAATATTAACTATGTGCTAGGCACTGTTCTAAAAGCCTTACGTATATTGACCCAACAGCCCTATGATACCCGTGCACTATTACTCCACCCCCCTTTATAGCTAAGGACTCTAAGGCACAGCCAGCTAGTGATTTGCCTAAGTTTACATGGTTGGTAACTGGTAGAGCCTGGAATATGAAGTCAAAACGACTGCAGAGTCCATGAGCTTAATATTTAATGAGTTGGACGTACGTTATTAAACTATTGTTAAGTGGAAAAAAAGCAGATTAAAATATATTACGTCTGATATAATCCAATTTTTGTAAAAAAAAATGGCTTGTGGGAAAATGACAGAGAGATTATCTCTGGGTGGAAGGATTATGAATGATTATTTTCTTTTTTAAATTTATTTTGAAAATACTATTATTTTCCAAACAAAAAAAATCCAAGCTTGTATAAAATATTCAATGAATTAAACTTGTTGGTTTTGCAATTGTAAAGATAATTGCTGCCTTTCTGTTTTTAAACTATCGTGAATGGAGTAAAGCTGAGAGTGAACTTGCTCTGTGGTGTTACAAAGCCAGGCCTGAGCTTTGCTCTTGATGAAGTGACCGACGGAGTATGGAGCAGACGGTCCCACTTTGTGGCTGTGTACCTATCGAAGTCCCTGAGTTGTTCTGAGAGATCAACGAGATAATAGGTGTGAAATAACCTTGAAAAGTACTTTAAAGAAGGATGCCAAGGTCAGCCAGATGGAGATGTGTTATATGTAACACATTTTCCCCACAGAAACAAGATAATTAACAATAGTTATGTCACCAGACAAGTCAATGAAAGCCTGATGCAGCTGAATAGTGCATGATTTTATTTCTAAATGAGAGGGCCGTTGACATTCCAGTCTGAGACATCTCTCTCTGTCATGAACTTCTATGGCACAGCTGGGATTCTCTTTATAGTCTTTTCCACTGAGGCTCCAGGGATAATAAGAAATGGAACAGGAAGGGCATGGCCCCCTTAAGGAATGGAGCTGCATCCCTGACTCGGGTACCTTTTCAGAAGTCAGGCATTGCCTATACTATTTCTGAAGGACGTGATGTGAATTTAGTTTAGTGATAACAAAATATCTCAATAAAGCTGGGGGAAAAAAGAGATAAAATATTTGTGATTATTCTTCTAAACATTTTTAAGTCATCACTTCTCTATGGAATTTTAAAAGAAGTGACGGTGAAGTATAGTAAAACATCAATAAGGCAGCACAGCACAGTGGTTTGGAAAGCAGATTTTGCTGTCCCACGGACGTGCCTTCACACTCTAATTCTGGGCCCAGAACACGTGCGCCTGTGATCAAGATACTTGATTTCTCTAAATCTTACTCTCTCTCTGAAATGAGCATTGCATCAACTCATCAGTTTCCTGAGTAACAATGAGACGATGTAGGTGTGGTGCGTAAGTAGTGGGTGCACACAGTAAATGCTCCACACTGAACATGTGTCTGGCTCACTCTTCTGAGGAGAGTACTGCGCCAATGATGCCACAACAGGAATGAAAGCCCTTGTGGATTGCCTTATGGGAAGGAAGCTATTTCAGAGGGCATGAATGAGCGGGTTACCACTACGGGCAACAACGGGCACTATGGGCTCAATCTGGTGAGGAAGTTAATGGTGTAGACTAAAGCATGTCTCAGGTTTCCCATCTCCGGCTTGAGAAAGCTGGGATACTGATCCACCAACTCCCATCCATTATTGGGTGAGGGTTGTTCTCAGGGCTGTAACTCCACTCTCCAGTCAAGCACCTCTGTGTGACTAGAAAAGGCCCGTAGACACATAGTCCCAAGTGCTCACAGAAAGGTGGGCAGGTACCGAGAGGGACTCATCCAGGGACCACGGGCGGGGCACTGCGAGTCAGCTACAGACACCATCATGCTTTCCTTTTACCTATATATGTCTAGCCTAAAGACCACTCAGGCTGTTGCTGGTTGCAGGGACCCACTGCAGGATTATTGATGGATCCACATAAACGCATTGTTGCTATTACGAATTTTAAAAAGTAATAGAATGTTTTTCACAACGTGGCAGCATATTGGGTTCTTGCAATTTCCTTAAACACTGAAAGGCACTTTTCAGAGAAGTCCATTCACAAATGGGGCGATTAAAAGCAGACATTCTCATTATAGTAATAAAATATCCACATTCCATAAATTTAACAAATCAGATCCCTTTTCGGCTCTCTACAACTGACAAATCATTTCTGAAAATTCAGTTCCAGGCTTCTGGAGACTAGGGGTCCTATGCCCTATTCACTTTCTCGATATTTAGTCATTCTGATATGTCATAATATTTATTCAAAGAAAGCAATCATTTGGGATCCTTATTCGTGGTTCCCAGCATAACGTTATCCTACACAAATGTCATTTTCTCAGTAGGGCCAAATCCCACTTGCTACGGAAAGCTCTTTGCTGGATGTGGTTTCATCAGTCTTAATCTCCTAAGGGGGTGTGGGAAGATGCTTGCTATTTACTTTCCTAAACCGTTCTCTTTTCTTATCAATCTCGGCACTTCACTCCAATGACTCAGTTGGCCGGCGTTTCTCGACAGGACACCCTCACTTCCTGGGAAAGTTACTCTGGATTGCTCTCACAAGCTGCCCGGGGCTATAGAAGAAACTTGACCCTTGGATCCGGAATACCCAGGCCCCAGGGGCCGCCACTGGGGTCGGCGGCTCCGCCCTTCAGCTTTCGGCCCGCAGGTGGCAGCAGCGGGCTCCGAAGCGTGTCTGCAGGTGATTGAGCAACGGCTCAAGCTGCACCGCTTCTGGCCGGCGCTCCGGAGCGGGGGCTGGACTCCACCTTCAGGAATCCGCACCCAACCCGGACGGCCAGTGAGGACGAAGTAACTGAGTGCTAAAATTGCCTCGGATCCTTTAATTTCTTGAATGAAAACACACAACAGTTTGAAGCAGCAACGGCAACTCATTGCGTCGCTAGTCCCTTTGGTTCCCAGTTTCCCCACCAACTCCAGCAGCCACCCGGTCCGTTTTCCCGAGCAGAGTCGGCTCCGTGACCCTCCCCGCTCCGGGCCCTGCAGACCTTCGGGAGCCGGGCGCTGGGCGGCCCGCAGGGAGTCGGCGCGCGCAGCGCCCCTTCTCCTCCTCTCCTGCGTCCCCTCCGCCACGCGGGCTTCCCGGCAGGTCAGGACGCCTCGGCTGCACCCCTGTTTCATCACCCCATCTCCCTTCCCTAACCCTCCTCTTCGTCCCTTCTCCCCGACCCCCCCCCCCACGCGGCTCGCTCGCGCCTAGTGCTCCAGGTTCGGAGGTGGGAGCAGGACCCACACGAGCCCAGCAAGCCAGGGACATGCTGCCCGGACTCCTCGCCGCGCGGTCCCCAGCGCCACCACCGCCGCAGCTCCTTCCCGCCCAGACACCGCCGCCTGCAGCCCCCTCCGCGGCGGCGCGGGCCGGGCTGGGAGAAGTTGACGCCCGGGGAGGGGGCGGCGGGGCGCAGGTCGGAGGATCTGTGGCAGGAGGATTAACACATCTGGGCGAGGGGAGGGGCGGCGGCGCTGC